GGACATCGAGCCTATAATTCGTGATCCTAGAGAAGCTAAATAAGAAGGTGAACTCAAAGAAAAACATAGTTATCAACCTGGATGTTGGAAGTAGATCAGATTGCCAGGCAAAAATTGGGAGATTGAGGGTGGGGGTAAGGGGAAGGGAAGAGAGAAGTGAGAAGAGGAGGATGGAAAGAGCTTGGGGGAATGGGATGGTTGGGATGAAGGAAGGGTAGATATGGGAGCAGGGAAGTATATATCTTAATTAAGGGAGCTATTTTAGGGTTGGCAAGAGTCTTGACTCTAGAGGGGTTCCTGTGTCCAAAGAGATGTTCCCAGCTTGTTCCGTGGGCTGCTGAGGAGTGGGCACCTGACCTGACCCTATCCTATAGTCATACTGATGAATATCTTGCACCATAGAACCTTCACCTGGCGATGGATGGAGATCGAGACAGAGACCCACACTGGAGCACTGGACTGAATTCCCGAGGTCCAAATGAGCAGCAGAAAGAGGGAGAACATGAGCAAGGAAGTCAGGATGCGAGGGGTGTGCCCACCCATTGAGATGGCGGGGCTGATCTAATGCCAGCTCACCAAGGCCAGCTGGACTGGGAGTGATGGAGCATGTGATCAAACTGGACTCTGAATGTGGCTGACAATGAGGGGTGACTGAGAAGCCAAGGACAATGGCACTGGCTTTTGATTCTACTGCATGGACTGGCTTTGTGGGAGCCTAGTCTGTTTGAAAGCTCACCTTCCTTGACCTGGATGGAGCACAGAGGACCTTGGATTTCCTACAGGGCAGGGAACCCTGACTGCTCTTTGGTCTGGAGAGGGAGGGGAAGAGGAAGTGGGAGGAGGGGGAGAGGGAGTGGAGGGACGGGGAGGGAAATGGGAGGAGGTGGAAATTTTTAATAAAAAATAAAATTTGCTTGGGTTAATTAGAGTTTTAGTGTCTAGTTTCTTGAGTTCTTTGTATATTTTGGAGATCAGACCTTTGTCTGATGAGGGGTTGGTGAAGATCTTCTCCCAGTCAGAAGGCAGCCTTTTTGTCTTACTGACAGTGTCCTTTGCTTTACAGAAGCTTCTCAGTTTCAGTAGATCCCATTTTTTCATTGGTTCTCTTATTGTCTGTGCTACTGGGGTCCTACTTAGGAAGAGGCCTCCTGTGCCTATATCTTGTAGACTATTTCCCACTTTCTCTTCTATCAGGTTCAAAGTGGACAGGTTAATGTTGAGGTCTTTAATCCATTTGGACTTGATTTTTGTGCACGGTGATAGATATGGATCTACTTTCATTCTTCTACAGGTTGACATCCAGTTATGCCAGCACCATTTGTTAAAGATGCTTTCCTTCTTCCATTGTATACCTTTAGCTCCCTTGTCGAAAATTAGGTGTTCATAAGTTTGTGGGTTAATATCTGGGTCTTCTATTCGATTCCATAGGTCGACTTCTCTGTTCTTATACCAGTACCAAGCTGTTTTCAATACTGTAGCTCTATAATAGAGTTTGAAGTCAGGGATGGTAATGCCTCCAGAAGTTCTTTTATTGTATAAGATTGTTTTGGCTATCCTGGGTTTTTTGTTTTGCCATATAAACTTGATTATTGTTCTCTCAAGGTCTGTGAAGAAGTTTGATGGGATTTTGATGGGGATTGCATTGAATCTATAGATTGCTTTTGGTAGAATTGCCATTTTTACTATGTTGATTCTCCCAATCCAAGAGCAGGGGAGGTCTTTCCATTTTCTGGTATCCTCCTCAATTTCTTTCTTCAAAGACTTAAAGTTCTTGTCAAATAGGTCTTTCACTTCCTTGAGAGAATTCACAACAGATGAACTTCGAATGGCCAGAAGACACTTAAGGTCATGCTCAACCTCCTTAGCCATCAGGGAAATGCAAATTAAAACCACTTTGAGATACCATCTTACACCTGTCAGAATAGCTAAAGTCAAAAACACCAACGATAGCCTATGCTGGAGAGGATGTGGGGTGAGGGGAACACTCATCCATTGTTGGTGGGCATGCAAACTTGTGCAGCCACTGTGGAAATCAGTGTGGCGATTTCTCAGGAAACTGGGAGTCAACCTCCCTCAGGACCCAGCAATTCCACTCTTGGGAATATACCCTAGAGATTCCCTAACATACTACAAAAGCATTTGTTCTACTATGTTCATAGCAGCACTATTTGTAATAGCCAGAGCCTGGAAACAGCCTAGGTGCCCCTCAATAGAAGAATGGTTAAAAAAGGTGTGGAACATATACACATTAGAGTTTTATTCAGCGGTAAAAAACAATGACATCTTGAATTTTGCATGCAAATGGATGGAAATAGAAAACGCTTTACTGAGTGAGGTAAGCCAGACCCAAAAAGAGGAACACGGTATGTATTCACTCATAAGTGGATTCTAACCATAATTAAAGGTCTTTGAGCCTATTATTCGTGATCCTAGAGAAGCTAAATAAGAAGATGGACCTGATGAAGATTATTTAGCTATCCACCAGGAGGTAGGAAATAGACAAGAGTCCCAGGTAACCTCTGGTGCATGGGAGGGTGTGGGAGGGTCGATGGAAGGGGAGAGGGTTAGAGAGAAGGGAGTAGGGGAGGAATGGGGAAAGCTCGGTGGCCTGGGATTGGGGGGGGGGAGGGAGGAAGGATGTATATGGGATCAGGGAAGAATATATTTCAACTAAGGGAGTCATTTTAGGGTTTACAGGAGACTTGATTATATATGGGATCCCAGGTCCAAGGAGAGATCCCCCATATTGTTCTCTGGACAGAGGAGAGGGTGCCTGAACCGGCCATGGCCCATAACCATACTGATGAATATTTTGATTATCACCATAGATCCTTCATCTGGCGAAGGACGGCGATACAGACGGAGACCCACATTGGAGCACCGGACTGAGCCCCCCAAGGTTCAAATGAGGAGCAGAAGGAGGAAGAACATGAAAAACGAAATCAGTACTGCGACGGATGCTATCACCCACTGATACAAGGGAACGGATCTAATGAGAGTTTACCAAGGCCAGTTGGACTGGGACTGAACGAGGAGGTGATCTAACCAGATTCTCGGAATTTGGCCGGATTCTCTGAATGTGGCTGGCCCGAAGTCTTTCTGAAAAGCCATTGACTATGATACTGGGACTTGTTTCCTCTGCATATACTGGATTTTGGGGATCCAGTCTGTTTGGATACTCACCTGCCTGGACCTGGAGGGAGGGGGGAGGAACTTGAACTTCCCACAGGGCAGGAAACCCTGACTGCCCTAAGGGAGGAAGAGGGAGGAGGAAAGGGAGTGGGAGGAGTGGGAGGGTGTTGGGAAGAGGGGCGGAAATGGAAACTTTTATAATTTAATAAAATTTACTTTCAAAAAAAATAAAATAAAATTTGCTGAAAAAAATTAAAAAAATAAAAATTTCCAGGTGATTCCTATGCATTATACATTTCGAGATCCTTATAAGATATTCACTGAAATTTCTATATGCTAGATTTCATTTTTTTTCTAGAAATATATAGAATGACTTAAGATGGACAATTCTGGAATGTCTTGCACATTTGTTGAGACCTTAGGTTTAGATGGAGAATGAGGCAGAACCTCGTGTATGATATTGAGTGAAATGACTGTCATCAAAGAGTGACAACTGAGGAGGTTTCACTGAGTCTTTTTTTTTTTTTTTTTTTTTTTTTGAGACAGGGTTTCTCTGTAGCTTTGGAGCTGGAGCTGTCCTGGAACTAGCTTTTGTAGACCTGACTGTACTTAAACTCACAGAGACTCACCTGCCTCTACCTACCGAGTGCTGGGATTGAAAGCAGGCACTACCATTGCCCGGCTTGGTTTCACTGAGTCTTAAGTGTGCTGTGAGACCCTCACATAGGCTTCGCCTCTCTTTGCTATCATCAGCGGTCTTGGGAAAGTTTGTTCTCCCCATGCTGTGAGTACACACCTCCTGTCCTCTGGAACTCACAGCCAGCAAACTGCTGCCACTGCCGTGTAATTGTGAGCACTTGGTACAATTCCACTCTCCTCACAGAAAGTGATTTTAAGGAAATCCTTCCTTTTCTTTTTCTTTTTTTTTTTATTTGTTTTGTGAGAATGACTGACTTGTAGTTTTGCTCTAAGGCTCTGTGTCTGTATTTCTTGGAGGAGGTACCATATCCCACAGACCTAAGCACTACGCTCTCTGTAGCTCTGATGGATAAAGTAATTAACTCAGGTGAACATTACTACATCCGCATGAACTTTCAGGGCCATGTTGAAAGACATGTGTGGTTCCCTCCTAATTGCTTTCCCTGTTGTGCCAGTATGTCTATAGCTATACCTCTATGTTATCTATCATCTACCTACCATATCTATCTTATCTATCTTATCTATCTATCTATCTATCTATCTATCTATCTATCTATCTATCTTCTATCATCTATCATCTGTGAAAGTATGTAGTATGTATGTATCCATCTATATCTATATCTATTTTACCTCATTCCTGTCCTCATTTCCCCATGTCACAACTTCATTCATGACATGGGTATTTCAGGAAGATTTTTGAACTTAAGCTTGTGTCAAATATAACCTTGGATTTGATGCATCAATTTTTATTTTTACACAAATGTCACAGAATACCTTATATCATAATTCCTGAGGATTATGGGGAGGGATCCCTTAAATTTGAATTTATGATTGAGTGGTTCATTTTATTTGTCCTGACCTTTGCTCTGAGGGAATAAAGGATAACAGATGATTTAAGAAATAAAGACAAAAAGGCTTTTCCAGAATTTTCTCAATATTCATAGCTTGTGGTATATCTTCTATTTGATATATAAGAATGAGTGAACTGTGTGAGCATAATGGACCCCGAGTTTGGTAACTGTGGAGGAACCCTCAGCTACAAGTGTGGGTGGGTGTGGACACAGACAGGAGAGTGTTGACAGCGGATTTCCTTTTGTTCATTTGGCCTCACAGAGCTTTGAGTTTGTTCTCTCTCATTCACTAGTCAGTGTCACATCTCCCAACCTGTAATGGATGAATCAATGGTTTACATTAACTTAAACTTACCCAGGACTCGGGGGCTTAGGAATGCATCACCTCCATCTCTTCCTTCAGGTAAGTGGTTTTATTTCTCCTTTCAGTACTTGAATATCTTTTAGAGGTTAATCCTCTTCTGTTATCTTACAGTTTTAAATTATGGCTCTGAGATTGTGAGATGCCTTAACATGTAAAAATACTAGTTGCACAAACCTCACAACTAGACTTAAATTTGCTATACCTTTGGTGGACTGAGAATCCTCCTCCTGAATGTTGTTTTCTAAACTCTACACCTGGTATGGGTTGTGCACACCTGCAGACATGCATGGACACATGTACACATATACACACAAAAACACACATGCATACACACAGCATACTTTCAAACACTCAATCACACACACACACTCACATACTCAGACCTATGTGTCAGATAACCACAACATCAGAGTGATATTATTCAAGGAGTTCATGAATCATGAACAATGTTTCTCCTATTCAGCCTCAGTTTAAAGATGCTAGTTAAATAATAATTTGCACATATGAACAGAAAAGTGTTTTTAGAGACATTGCAGACACTTCCTGGAATATCTTGCTCATTCTCGATCCTGGTACAGAACACAACACGTTGAGTCAGAAACATCCCTAGCAGTCAGTATTGGATAAAGCAGCAATTGCCTCTGCCAGAGAGCTTAGTAATTGAAGTGAAAGAAATGTGCAAGACTTGGGTAAAAGGGACAAGAAACCGATGTAGAAAATGTGTCTAAAACTGTCCCGAGATAGTAGTGCATTCTGTGACCAACTGAACTTACTGACAGTAATGAAATTGTAAGGTTTTCACTTAACATTCTTTTTATATTGTGAAAACCAAGTGATTATAACAATATTTTCAGAAATTTTGGTTAAGACCTAACAAATTATAAAAATTAAAAGACAGGAAAACATCTTAGAGCCATCAAATCTGCTTCTTTATCATCTTCACATCAGAATCAGGGGAAATGAACCTTTGACACTTCTGGGAGGATTCGAGTGAGCCAGCGTGATAGGAAGAAGCATGTTTTTTCCCCATGTGTTTGAGCCAAGTAAATGGTTGAGAAAGGATGTTGAAATGGGTGTAAGAAAGTGAAGGTTGAGATAAACAATGAGATTTCCTCAATACTACTATTTATGATCCCGAATCAACAGGCTAGAAAATTTATCTATCTTCATTGTGATTATTATTCTACCTATCACCAGTTTGAAGAAAACCTTTGCACATAAGTTTCTTTTATAAAATGTGATACTTTCAGGGTTCCCTATCCTATGGGAAGTCCAAGGTCCTCCCCACTCCCCTCAGGTCCAGGAATGTGAGCATCCAAACAGACAAAGCTCCCACAAAGCCCTTTCATGCAGTGCCATTGTCCTTGGCTTCTCAGTCAGTCTCCACCATCAGCCACAGGATGAGGAGTGGGGGGAAGGGAGGAGAGGGAAGTGGGAGGAGGGGAGGAGGTGGAAATTTTTGATAAAAAATAAATAAATTTAAAAAAGAAAGAAAAAAAAGAAAGATGATCCAAACATGAGAATTTGTTAGGTTTGGAAAGTAGTTAAGGTGAACTTAAATAAAAATATTTCAATATAAAAAAATGTGATACTTTCACAGGACCTGTGTGCATATTCCTATGTGATTTAGACAATCTCCAGATTACCAACAATGTTTAAGATGATCTCAATGCCATGCAAATAGTTGTTATAAGTATTTATCTAGAGGATATGATTGGGGAAAGTCTGTACATGTTCAATAGACTGTTATGTGTGCAAATGAACTTCTCGGTCTTCTGGTATGGATTGTTCCTAAGGCTTAGGGGAGCCATTTTCTATCTCCTGGGAATATTTCTACTTTCTACCTTTTTTCTTCTTGTTCTCTTCCTCATCTTCATCTTCCTCTGCCTCCTCCTCATCTTCCTCCTATTCATCTTCTTTCTCTTCTGCTCCATTTTTTTTGTTTTTTCCTCAAGAACATTCAAAATGTTTTAATTTCCTTAATGATTTTTGTCACCATTCAAAAACTGCTCTAAAGTCCTGACACAACTATTATTTTCTGCAATATCAATTATATAATTCAGCCACAAAAGATAAGGTAAAATTCAGCCTAAATAGAAAGAAATACATAGGCAATTTTGAACCACACAATAAGAATAAAAGAAGATTTTAGAATCTGGTTTCAAATTTTGACATGTGACTCAGAGCATGTCATTAATTATACCAGGAAATATTTAGAAACAACAGAAAACTAACAAAGTAGAGATAAATTTGCAGCTGTCAAAATTAGGAATCACTAGTCATGCATGGTAGGGTACCACTGTAATGATAGCACTTGAGAAACAGAGAGAGTGACATCAGGAGTTCTAGGTTATTCTTAACCCAAGAGGGAGTTTGGGTTTAGCATACACTACAGTAAATCCAATCTGAGAAACAAAACCAAACAAAAGATTGTGATAGAAAATCTTCACTCATAATGATACAATATTTCTAATAATTAAATCTATAAAGCCATTCATAAAACAGAAACACATGGAACTGTTAGAAACTAAATGAGAGCCAAAAGGGGATTGTGATTAAATTAGAGGTGTAAGTGCCAGCTAGTGTTTCTCCTTATTACCTTTATAAACAAAACTCTCTTTGTATTTCATATATAACCCACGTTTTTAAAAAAAATGTCTAACATAGAGTTAAATTCACAAAGCTGTGGTATGATAACCATATACAAAAAAATATTTCATGTCCAATAAACATAAGATGTCCACTGTTGGTGCAATCACCAAGGCAAGCAGAGATATCTAACATGGTGTTTAGGAAGTACAATGTGGTAGACAAAATATATGTCATGTTATGTAAGGGACTTGGAGGTCCTGTGTTCACAGTTAAGCACTAGGGGAACCAGAAATGTTAAAATCTCAGGGTTATTCCTGTTATCTACTTAGTGGGCTTCAGATGTAGTTAATACTCTGGTAACTTTTGTGGCCAAGACTACACAGAATCCTCTCCAAGATCCTTATGGTGAATTTTTCAAACTATCGAACCGATCTTTACGAAGGATAAGATATGTAGCCAATCTAAAGAACTATTTTTTTGGAAGGTGTTATATGTTCTTTACAAAGAGTTTTGATGTAGTCACATCTTAAACTTTATTGTGCTCATGGGGTAAGTAATCACTAGGAAAGATTTTTACCAAATTGTGTTGTGTTTTAAAATGGCTAAAATAAACCATTTGCATCAAACTCCTGAGATTTGAAACAACACTGACTACTTAGTCATGTTGACTCAAATTGCTTTCTTGCCTACTGCAGATCAAACCACTGACCATGATGGTCACAGAGACTCCGACAATGTTATACCCATGAGTTATACCCCTTATCTGCTATAGGTGCATTTTATGCCATGTTATAGCACAGAACCTCTTATCTGCTATGGACACAGTGTATGTCATGTAATATCATAGTACTCCATATTTGCCATTTCAGTGTCTGTTGTTTCTGTTACTTGTATCTAGCAGTGGTTTTAAACTACTGACTATAAAATTCTAGGAATAAGTAACTCAGTGTTTTAAGCTGGACACTGCCCAGAGCAGCAATGATGAGATCTCACAGCATCTAGGTCCAGAAGTGAATCACTTATCATCAGTGCTTGTGTCCCAGTACCACCCACTCACTCAATGATGGATCCAAATTGTAAAAGTAGTGACATCAATGGTACAGTATTCTAAATAGAAGTCGTAATGCATCCCTCTAAATAAAAGGTGATAGTGTCAAGTACTGCACTCCATGGAAAAATGTTTTACTGTAGCACAACAAATTGTGAAAGTTATAGTCACCAGGAGTAGTTTGGGCTTTGTGAGATGTAACTCTCTCTCTCTCTCTCTCTCTCTCTCTCTTTCTCTCTCTCTCTCTCTGTGTGTGTGTGTGTGTGTGTGTGTGTGTGTGTGTGTGTATGTGTGAGTGTGTGTCTGTCTGTCTGTCTCTATTTCTCTGTGTGTGTGTGTGTATACCAGTGCACACATAGTGTAGCACTATCTCTAGTTTCAGTCAGGCTACTAGGAGTGTGGCCAGACTCCTATGGTTAAGGGAGGTCTTGTGTAGTGACAAAATCACCTCTGGCTTTTATCCCAGATGTCCTCATTTAGTTTTAATAAGTGTCTTCTTTGCACTTCTCAGATGTCTGTCAATGTCCCCACTGGCATCGTTTGGCTCTGAAACTCGGCTGTGCTGGGCTGATCCTTCTTCTCTTGAGCCTGACTGGACTCAGTATCTTAGGTAAGTAAGGCAAGAGCTCTTGTTTCTTAATTTCCCACATAAACATTTGTCTTATTTATGACACCTGGCTTCTTGAGCCTAGGGAAAGGTTAATGACATCTAACAATACAGGACAAAATGCTGTGTCTTCTGTGGAAACTTCACATTTCTTCCATGCTAATAAGCATGCTAATAAGCAAAAATTAATAATGTTTTGAGAATAGTTATGGGCTATGACATAATGCATCTGAAACTATAAAAGATAAAAGTCACAGTTATGACAAAAATACAGCAACAAAGAAAGCTAAAAGATCCCCATATTTAACTTATTGCATCCCTGCTAAACCTTCTCTGGAATGGGTGTGATTATGGATGAGTAGCTCAGGTGTGACTGTGGTCAATCTGAGAGTTCCAACAATGCCCACAAATTGACGTATCAATCAAAACATATGTAAACTCACAGTTATTCGAATCCATGTGCTCTGTATGTTTCTTGTTCATATATCCTGACCAAAAACTTGTCCTTTAATCTAGTTTGCTAATATTGTATCAGTCCAGATGTTCAGATGAAATAACTTGATTTCCTGAAGTAAGAAATAGAACATTGGTCACCCATTTGTTTCAGCATTTAATTCTCTCTATGTGTTTCATTATTTACTAGTGCGAGTCTTAGTGCAAAAACCAATAGAAAAATGCAGTATGTCTGCTCAAGAGATCATGACTGAACCAACAGGTAATTGCATGACTTGAATTTTCTGAGAAGTGATTTTGACAGAAAATGTGGGTTACCTGAGTCAGAGCTCAGAGTAGTCCTCCATAAAGACATTATATCACAATGGATTTATGACAGAGAAAACAGCAATAAAAACTCTAAGAACTCATGGAAAGTCACAAGGCTTGTAAATGTTGGGGCTGTGAACTGAGTTGACTCTGGGTGACCTTGACATTCGTGATCGTAGGTACCTGGACATGCTTCCTCAGGTTGCCGGTGCACATAATCCCTAAAAGGCAGGTATCAAGTTATGAACTAGAATATTTTATTATTTTAATGAACATGTTAAACAGTTTATTTTGAAGTTAATAGAAGCAAAACATAAAATTAATCTTTTGTCATTAATTATGATTCCTTGACATATGACAGCATTAGCATTGTTCTAGCATGTGCTAATGAAACAAGTTCTGTGTGGAGTTGATTGTAGTGCAGCGGGAACAGGGCAGAAATAAACACGTCTCCTTTCTTACTCTAGGGAGATCAGCCATTCCACCATGCCTGAAAGACTGGCAGCCATACAGGGATAAATGTTTACTTATTTCTCAAATTTCCAGACCTTGGTCTGAAGGTCTAGCTGACTGCTCTGTGAGAGGAGCCACTTTGCTGCTCATTGAAGATCAAGAAGAATTGGTAAATTGATAATAAAAATGTTCAGTTTAGAACATAACACTTTCTTGAAGTTTTGATGACATGTCTGGACTTTAACCAATGGTCTACGTTGAGGACGTGGAAACTTGGATTTTAAAGAATTTAAAACCTAGATGTAGTGGGGGAGGGCCCTGGATTTTCCTTTGGGCAGGGTGCCTTGCTCTCTCTTAAGATTGGAGGGGGATGGGAGGCACAGGATGTGGAGAGTGTGGGAGGAGAGGGGGAGGAGGGGAGGAAGTGGGAATTTGGATTGGTATTTCTTTAAAGTAATAAAAAATAATGGGATGAATCAATTAACAGTAGAAATATATAGAGATTGGTTTCACAGAGGAGACAATTATGCCGGTGGGGAGCTAGGATGAACTTTAAACAGGAGTAATAGTGTTTTAGAAGGTTGGTAGAAGAAAGTATGTCATGAATAAATAGATTGAAAATTAAGTCTTCTACTATGTTCTGGTTATAGAGATACTTCCAGGATTTCTCAAAGAGAGAAGGACATCAGTTTTTTATTGGACTAAAATATTTAAAAGTGGAGCAGATGTGGAAGTGGACGAATGGTTTTACTTTACATCCTGATCAGTAAGTATTAAATGAGTTAATTTAAATATTCAATTCACATTCATTTTTACAGAAAATTGAATTTTGTAATTTTAATTTAGTGTATAAATTCTTGAGATTGTTGAAATAGACTGAAAAGTCAATTTCAGAATTAGTTGCAAAGTTTCATGTACAAGTAGATAGCAACCCTTTATAATAATATGTGTATATTTAATTACAATGGAATTTAAAAAGACAGGAAGTAGACTAACTTTTTACTGTTAGAAATAAAATAGTTTTTAATGTTTTGGGGGGACATACATATTTTCTTTTTCTCTTTCTTTTTTCACACACACACTTTCTTAGAAATTTAAAAACATATGTATTTGTTTTATTTTCTGCGTGTTCTTCAATGCATATATGTATGTATATCATGTTCATGCAGGAGTTCACAGTAGTCAGAAAAAGGCAGTAGATTCCTTGGAACTGGAGTTGCAGATGTTTGTGAGCTACCATATAAGTGCTAGAACTTGAACCTGAGCTCTCTACATAACAGTAATCACATTTAGGCACTACATCATTTCTCTATCCATACACGGAAATCATTCAGCAGTGCTTTAGAACTGTGGTAACAAAGTTGCACCATAGTGTGTCTTGAAATTACTTTCTCTAGGCAGAATGTCTCAGTATAGACATTGCTGTTTAAATATGATTTTTCACATAGTAATGATTAATTTTTTTCTTTCTTCGTGTGTGTGATGATTTTTTGTGTATAGTTGTGCTATGATGTAAAATGCTTACCTAATTTTGATTCATAGAGAAAATGTGATGATAAGTGAAGATATCCATGTTAGGCAGAGAAATTAGCTCAGCTGCTGTGTGATTTCACTCTGATAAAAGGATGCTCTGATAAGATGGCAGTGAGCAGGTAAATTTGGAGGATGTCAGGCTACAATAGAAAGAGTGCCAGTCAAACTGGCTTTTGTTTCATCTAGACTGAGAAAATGGTTCTGTGTAAAAGTTCTACCTGTGTAAATCTCACAGTTCAGTTCACAGAACTCATACAAAAATCCAGACCTAAAAGTTCACATCTGTATCCCAGCACTCCTGCAGGGAGATGGGAGGTTGAGACGGGAAAGTCACCCAGAAATGTCTGGGACAGTGAGCCTGAAGCACACATGACTGTGCTTGAAACAAGTTAGAAAGGGAGGATTCCCCCACAATTGTCCCCTAACTTCTACACAAACTTTGACCCTTCCACTCTCCCTCCCTTCCCCAAATTTCTTTCACATATCCTTGAAGTACGTATTTATTCTAACTCCTTGGACCCTTGTATTCAGGTTAGGAAAACAAGAGGAAACTTAAAATTTCACAAGCGGGATTATTTGGGGAATTAAAGGAGATAAGGTTAGAGTTCTAACTGTAAATCTGGCTGGGGTAGCCGTGGAAATCCACCAAACGCTTTTTGAAAAGAAATAACTGATTTGAACAAACAGGCCTTAGGAAAAGGGTCTTGAATATTGAAGAAACTAAAAGACAAAAAATAAGATGTAAGAATATTTATAGAAGCTGAGTTGAGGGAAGTTCATACTTTGATTAGCATGCTAGGCACTAGTATGACCTAAAATTTATTGCTTAGGGTCAAGGGGCACCATGAAGAAAGACAAGCAAAAGTCAGCTGTGAGGAAGCCATGCCTACTGTCTGATGAGTGACATCCTCCATTTGAGACAGGCTGCTCTTGAACTCAGCAATTCCTTGTCATCACTGAGAAATTGCCTGGGTTAGGGTTGACTTCTGGCCTCCTTCCCACCTGCACTGATCCCTGAAATTCTGGGTGTGGGATTAGTGTTGTGCCAGAGCAAAGACCCACCATTTCTGAGATGAGAAGGGAAGGAACCACTTGAGTTGAGGTTCTTATTTTCTCTGTATCCAATTCTGTAGACCCACTGTGTTCACCCTTCATGTTGAATACATTTACTAAGCACCTACTGTGTAACTATTGTTATACATTCATGTATACCTCAATGCTTTCTCTAAGCAGTAGTTGCTTATGTCCTATATATTTAAGGGAACTGAAGCTCAGCAAAATGAAGATGCCTTTCACATGATCACAAGAATTATTGTATGAGAACTAGAAATAAAACCTTCTCCTTTTCATACATCATGATATATATTCTTGATGGACTAATTTTCTCCAGTGAGGGTACAACTGAAAATTTTAGAGGCTTCCCTTGGTGATATCTTTAATGGTTACATGTATTTATAATGTTTGTACTGTGTGCTTACTGTACTTTAGCACTATGTAATCTTAGCATCCTTAAATGTCCAAAAATGGCTGATGGCTGATGTGATAATTGCAAGAAAATCCTAAATACTAGGTGCAGCTATTCTTTGCTCCTCAGATTACGAGTCACTGGCAAGGACAAAGACAACAGCTGTGCAGTCATCTCACAGACAGAAGTATTTTCTGACAGCTGTTCTGCAGACAACCGTTGGGTCTGCCAAAAGAAACCAAAATATGTCTGAAATCCCATGTCTTGACTCCTGGTTGTGAATGTCATCCCTGTACCTTTATCTTCTGCACCAGATCTCTGCATTGAACTGTCAATGCTGCCAGCTCTCCCAGTGCAGTTGGTTGTACAAAGCATGGACTACAAAACCACTGTGACTCTCACAGATGCTGACTTCCAGTTTCTTTATTCTGTGATTGCCAATGCACACAGACACAGATGTGTTATTCTAAGACAAGTGTTTTATAGATGGAAGCCCCGGCCATTAGGGGGCACTGGAGTCCTTGCGTGGCCTTTGTTGAGCTTGGTGCATGAAATCATCTACAGACAGCTGTAGAAGACTTTACAAAGCCCCAATCTCAACTGAACCCTCACCCTAAACCACCTCACATCTGGGCTGTAGAAGCTTGATTAAAGTCTTTGCCATAACACCAGAAGCCCAGAGTTGGAATTGGGTTTTTATTAACATCTCTGAAATTAATAATGGACTAATGCTGTGATAATGAGAGTGACTCTAGGCAAAGAAGCTTTGTCAACATGATGCTTCCCACACTGCAGTCATCCAGCTGCAGAGACTGGAGAGTTGGTGGCACCTTGTTGCTGGCTTGTCAGTCCCCAGAGCTCTGAGACAAGAGGGGCTCTTTTCCAGTATTTTATAATAGTAACAAAAATGGACTAGGATTTGGCCTGAACTCAGCCCACTGCTGCACAGGTCTTCCCATTTTAATTTTCTCATTACTTTTTTCTTCCATACCTGGCTATACCTTATGGCTTATGCATAATCTATTCCCAGCAATAGAACAATTACAAAGAGAATAATAAACTGTGATATGGAAGTATTAATGTAATAAATATTTTCCTCTTCAAGTTGCTTTGATCCTGATGTTCCATCACAGAAATGGAAATTCCAATTAAGACTGTTCTTTTCTACCTTATTGAGACAGGCTCTCTCTTGTTTGTGCTGCTCTAAATACTCCAGGCTAGCTGAGCCACAAGTTTCTGCTATCTTATAAGATGAGTGCTGAAGTACAGATGCTTACCACATCATCTTCTATCAGTTAAATCCATTCCGGTGGTATACATACACAACAAAGCAGGCAAAACACTCATACACATAAATAAATAAATAGCTTTAAAAGAATATATAGACCACCATCTGGCGACTTCGTTTTTAATCCTCTATTCCTCATTGTTGTTCCATGGGTCCTCAAGTCAGTGTATGATCTCAGACTATCAATAGACCCCATTGAACTTAGCCATTTGCCATGCAGCCAGGTCAATAACCTTGCTATTTCTTAGCTTCGAAGAGTCATCTTTTAGATATCCTACACAGTGGAGGATAACAACTCATAGTAGAATCCAAATAGCCTATAGGTGCTGTAGGAATTCCTGCAATCAGTAGCATTAACTTACGCGCCCACCTGGGTGGAGCCTCATATGCTTTATATGCTGATGAAAAGCATGTCTCCAGTTTCTTTCTCTCTTCTGGCTTTAGCATTTAGTTGCTGTTCCATGTTTGAGCAGAGGATTGTGATCTATGAGTATACCTCTAAATAAATAATCCTCTATTATATTCTATTCTGAACTAGTGTGGAATTTCTTTTATGCATCCTTGTTCATGTGGTGCCCCATGTGGATTTGGACTGTGCACATACCAGGTGGATGGCCTAAAGTCCTAACCGGTTCACAGTCCAGAAAGTCTCCCACCTCAACCACCTGTCTTACTTTTACATAAGCATTTTTTCTAAAACCCCTGCCACAGAGGAGCTAAATGTATGCAGCAACTTGAAATTTTCAAAACTCATGCATATCTCCACCTCATGGCTGCATTTCCTGCCATGTGGCAACTTGCGCAGCTTCCAGTTTGTACTCCTGGCCCCTGAGTTCTGGGATTCTCTCTCCAGGTACAGAATTGATCTAATTGTTTTAAATTTGTAAATCAAAGCATATTTCTCAGTATTTAAACAGCACCAAGGCAGGGAAAATTAAACAGCTCAGGATTGTTCATGGCACCAGGTTCCACCACTAGTTGTGACTCTTTAACCACAACACCTGTTGAACAATAAAGATTATTATACCTAAATCAATTTACAGGATCTCATAACAGATAATTAATATATCAATAAAATTGAAAGCTATATAATTACAGACTACATTACCATTAAAACTTTTAGTGACATTTTTGCTCATACTGTTGATTGTATTCTGCAAGACTTACATGGTTATTATAATAATCCATTTATTGAATACTAGGATTCAGTTTTTTCTTCATATTATATCCTTACAAAAATGGTTTGATAACAGAGTCAAGAATGGGGCACTTTTAGAAATGATACAGTCTTTACAGACTAATAGTGACAGCTGACAGGATTAATAACATTGAAAATCAAAAGTTACCTGAAAAAATTAATACTATTGAAAAAGGTAGCATTAATTTGACAGACTAAATTGAATTGATGTCTAAGAGTATTGAGAAATTATCAAAAAGAATTTATGCTGTTGAATTTGACAATCAAAATTTGTTAAAAATTTATGATAAGTTAGCAGACAGAATATCGCTCCAGGATGACAATCTGCATGATATCCAAATAAAGTCCAAGGATGAGGTGTTATCATTAAAAAAAACTTCAAACCTTGGAATCCCATGTGTAGAATGAGGACCAGAAGCTGGGTGCCTCAGTGAAATCGCTAGAAATATATACAGGTCAGGAAATTCAGACTTTACAAAAGACAATAGAAAAAAAAAAGATTTGAAACAATTGAGAAAATTATTGGAGCTTATGAAAAGGGAAAGAAGGCACAAAGTCAGGATTCAACATCACCAGTAGCTATCAGAGATGACTTATGCAGGGTTATAGCTTTCTACACTGTAATCTACTCTGACAAAGCATCAAGTTCTAAAGGCCCAGAAGAATTCAAAGAATATAGATGGATACATATAGGAATGAATGATCTAAAAGAAATTAAGCAAGATGTTATAACTTATGGCTTGCATTCTTCATTTATTAGGGAGATGATAAAGACATGGGCTTCTAGGTTTAAAGCCACATGATTGGCTTCAGTTAGTTACAGCAGTCCTGAATGACAGGCCTCAAATGATGTTTAAATTCTATTTCAGAGAGAGAGAAGAGGCTAAAATTTTAGAATAACAGGGAAAAATCAAAGGACTTGACACTTCTCAAGATCAAATTCTTGGTGAGGGCACTTATGCTGATCCACAGGTACAAGCTCATCATGATGAACAAATCTTGCCCCTGTTCCAAAAAAGCAGACTTAAATGCTTGGGGAAGGATTCAAGAACTAGGAAAGCTAGTTGAACCATATACCATGGTTAAATAGGGCCAGAAAACACATAAGTGACTTTTTTCAAAGATTAACTAAGGCTTTATAAATAGGAGTAACAGACCCAAATGCTGGATGAGTGCTTATTGAATCTCTGGTTTTGGAAAATGCCAACTTAGAATACAAAAAGATACTCAAGCCTTTAAACTTTAGATTAGCACCAACGGATGAATGGATCCCTTATGTAATGAACACTGAGACATTTAACTACAATACTGAATTTTGGGTAGGAGAAGCAATATCTAAAGAAATGAGAAGAAATAAAAAATGCCAAATGTTTTAATTGTGGTTAACAGGATATCTGACAAGGGATTGTCAACAAGAAATTCCTAGGAATTCTCCTCTGAGAATGACAAGAATAAGAGGACTCAGCCTTCAGGTATATGTAGACAGTGTGACAAAAGTTAACAATGGACCATTAAAGCAGATCAACAAAAGACAGACAAGGCAACTCAATGCCATCAGAAAACACCTCGAGGGGTCTCTTGCAGGCCCCCAAGCCAAAAGTGGTCAAATCATTCCCAGTCACCATGGAGGATATGTCTCACCAGGATAATTTTAAAAATCCAGAGCCTTCTGTGAAAGACCATACCTCCCTGGGTGATGGAATAAACATGAAGCATAAATAAAAAATTCTGGTGGGAAATAGGAAATATATATCCTGGAGGACTTTTATAAATGATCAAATCAAAGCAAAGAGTGCATATAAATGGCATTGTAATTGTGGATTTGATAGACACAGGTGTAGGTGTGAGTATCATTATTCTAGGATCTTGGCATCCAAATTGGTCCCTTCAAGTGGAGGTGGAAGTTCAATTACTAAGAATTGGAACCCTATTTCAAGTTAAACAAAGCATGATGTGGGTTGAATGCATAGGGCCAGAAGGCCAGAGTGGGAAGCTGAGGCCATATGTGGCTAATATTGCAGTGAATTTATGGGGGTCATGACATGTTGCAGCAATGGAATACTCAGATTAACATTCTTGAATTCCCAGAAACACATAATTCTGGGAAGGATATTATAGGGTACTAAATTCAAAGGTCACCAGCAATTCAGGTTTTACAAGAACAAAAAGCAACTACCAAACCTTTAGAGATACCAACAGCCTTACCTTTAAAATGGTTAACTGAGACACAAATATTAAACAGTCGAATAGCTGGTACAACAGCAACTAAATACTGGTCATATTGAAAAATCTACCATCCCTTGGAATTCTCCTGCATTTGTTGTTAAAAAGAAATCTGGTAAATAGAAAATTGTGGCGGATCTCATAGCTGTCAACAAGGTAATTCAGCCTATGGCACTCTATAATCTGGAATTCCTCTGCATTTTCTATTGTCAAAAGGATGACCTCTTATAGTTATTGATTTGAAATATTGTTTCTTCAATATATTTTTACAAGTAAAGGATAGAGACAAATGTGCCTCCACAGTGCCTACTTATAATAATTCTCAGCCTTCGAAATATCAATGGACCATCCTCCCACAGAGAATTCTCAATAGACCCAACCTGTGCCAATACTTTGTAAGTCAGCCATTGGAAATAATATGTAATCAATTTTCTAAGTCTATAATCTACCCTTACAAGAATGACATTTTGTTATCAGATTCAAACGCAGGTACTTAAGAAAAAAAATGTTTGAAGAAGTAAAGAAAGTTTAGCCAAAGTGGAGATTACAAATTGCTTTTGAAAAGATTCAAAAAGGAGATTCTGTTAATTATCTAGGTTATAGAATAGGTTTACGGAAAATTAGAACACAAAGGAGAAAATTAGGAGAGATCAGTTTCAGACACTTAATGACTCTAAAAGATTATTAGAAGACATTTCCAGTCTATGATCTACTGTTGGGATAACACCTGACCTAATTGTCCATTTAAACAAAGCCTTAGATAGTGATAAAGACTTGAATAGTACCACAGAATTAACAGCTGAAGCAGAAAAGGAATTGACAATTGTTGAGGAGAAATTAGAGGAGGC